ATCCTGCTGCCTGCATTCTCACTAGAACTCAGAAAGTGGAACACATCAGCCCTGTTCTGAAGTCCTGACACTGGCTCCCAGTAGCTCAGAGAAAGACTTTACAATCATTATGTTAGTCTATAAATCACTGAATGTATCAGGAGTAAAATACATAGCAGATCTGTCAGTACATCAACCTCCCAGACCATTCAGGTCTTCTAGTTCAAGCCTGCTCTGTATACCCAGTAGGGGTGTAAATCACACCCATCATGGCGATTCGATTCAGATTCGATTTCCTGACCCAACGATTCGATTATTTCGAGACTCAAAAATACACCACGATTCGATTCGATTAATTGGTTCATTTTTGCAATGAAATACCTCGGCTCCAGACGTCCCCGCCCCCTCCGCAGACGCTCCACTGCACCTCTCCCAAATTGTAGCTGATGGCAGACAGTGCCGCAAACAGGAGGCCGGCTTGTTTAGTTTTCATGACCGAAATTGCGGAAAACAACTCGTGAAGTTTGACCCGCTAGAAGAGCGAGGTGCGCAAGAACGCTGGGACCCTTTTTCCACCTGGATCTCCGCCCTTTTTGGCCCTCATGTCCCTCCGTCGTCGGACTAAACTTGCCCCCACTTCGTCACCGCCTCGGCCGTATCTAGACCCACAGTGTGTAGCACAGACCACGCTTCAATACTGAGCATAAATAAAAAATTTCTGTGTCAAGCTCACTGCAACACACTGCTGTAAGAGTATAACCAGGAAGCGAGGTAGGAGGGCAAAATAGGTTTTGCGCCACCTCAGCACGGGAGGGAGAATTACGCCCAGGAGCAAAATGGATAAAATTAGACCTGACGGAAAAAAAACATGAATCGTTACTCTTGCGGACTTATCGATGCATCGGATCATCGGCTGTTGGATCGATGCATCGATACAAAACGATTATTACTTACACCCCTAATACCCACACTGAAAAAAATAATGCAACCGCTTTTGGCATTTACTTAATCATATTTCTTTTCTTTTCTTAACACAATTGTTTTATGTCCTACCCTGCTAACATGAAACAAATGTGTTAAAGTAACTAAATATGAGTAAGTAAATGCCAAAATGTGTTGCATTATTTTTTTTCAGTGTAGAACTAGAACATGGAGAAGCAGAATTTAGTTGGTATGCTCCATGTATCTGGAACAAACTCCCAGAAGAATGAAAAAGTGCTGAAAGCCTGAGTTCTTTTAGGTTTATGTTAAAAACCCACCATTGTAGGGCTGCTTTTTTCTGTTAAAGTTAAACTAATAACTGAGGTATTAATAGTCTAAGATTATTGTCCTACTGTTTTATTTGTTTTTCTACCTTCTTTTATCATGCTTTTATCTTCATTTTCTTTTATTTTTCTTCTATGGTATTGTTTAATTTATGTAAATCACTTTGAATTGTTCTTGTACTGAATTGTGCTATACAAATAAACTTGCCTTATCTTGCCTTTAGCTTTCCTAAGACCTCTTTCAACTGCATAAAATTAAACAATAAATATGGTGAAATTCAGCTGCAAGGAGAGACATTTTATTCATTAATAAAGAGTAGAATCGTATGCATCTCTGCATACTATACACGGGCATTAGTGTTTATCCTGTGAGATTTTTAAAGGTATGCCAGCAAAAGATCAGGACTAACTTCCTGTTCCTAACTTAGTTAAAAGTAACACTTTGCCTCAAAGTGAATCTTTCTCAAAGTCTGAAACCTCACAGATCATCTCATCAGTAGACATAAATCCTCCAGCATTATGTCAAGCAGCAATAAAACAATCTGCCACATGAGCCTTCCTTTCAGTTGTAGCCATTATGTGTTGGACAGCTGATATGGTCCTGCGGTGCCGCTGAGCAATCTGCAGTAAAGCTGTATATGAAAATGTTATGGATGGGGAAACTGACTGCATCTGCTCAGTGTGCAGTGGTGCGCTACATGTGACAGCTGAGATTGAGACCCAACTAAACCCTGGCATCTGAGAACACAGTTATTTATGTGGGATCTGCATCAATCTGGAAGTACTTTTGAACATGGGGTGCTGTGAAAATTTTGGACAAAAGACCTTTGAGCCTATAGGCCTATTTAAAATACAATAAAAATAAATAAGTAAATATATTGAGCTTCACTACTTTACTGTCATATACACTTCAGTGCACGCAGCCAGGGTAAATATATGCACTATTAATTAAACTTCACAATAACATTATAATGACGTAGAATTGGTCAGCTTGCATGAACGTGACTCACTGTGTTTTTGTCACACCTGACTCTATTAGCTCCTAAATCAGTATAATAATATTATTATACTATTGAAACTTTATTGAACAGTTCTCCATTACACAAAGAACACAAGATTAAAAAAACTGTCTAAAATACTATGGTTACATTAAAATGCACAAATAGAGATTAAAATGCGTGGCGGCATCATCCTCTTAGTTTGAGCTACAGGCAGGGTGCCCTGGTTACAGGTGCCCAAATGTTGAAGGGTGCTCTGAGGTTGAGCAGATAAAGTTTTTCATACGAATCCGAAATGCATTTCTGTGCCATATTTCTTCCTTATTTCTGTTCTTAGACTAAGTATATTTGCTAGTCCGCTGCCGTGAGCGGGATACCATGCTCTAGCTTACTTGCATTTTTCCAAAATATTCATAAGAAATGTATAAATTGTGCAAAGTATTTTTAATATTTTTTTTTAAATCTCTCGCAACTAGGGGGTGCTGCAGCATCCCCAGTACCCCCACTTTCCTTTAAATTGTCCAGTGTTTTGCTGCAGTATATCTAACTTAATTTGTTAAGTTTGATAAAATGCCACATTGGAAAATAACTTTTAACAAAATTATTGGTGCCACATATCCTGGCAATCATGATGCTAACACTTTGAAAAAACAAATTTTCTTCTCTGTTAGCATTTTAGACAGTTGGAGCATCCTGGGGTACACTAGTCTCCTCAATTCACCATAGATGATATCTATATGATTGAGACCTGTGGATAAATTGGTCCACATATTTAACCCCTTGAACCCTACGGACCCACCGGCGGGTCCAGCTGCTACATGACCTCGTAATTTTACCAAACCCCCAGTATTGATGTAAAAAACATATTTGGCACAGTTTGGTGACATTTATGGATAAATGTGCCAAAATGGCCTCTCCGCCTAAGAAATTTCTCACTAATACCATTCTAAAATAAATATGATTCATCTGATTGAGTCCAAATTTGGTATATTTTTACACAACATTTAGATTTGAAAGTCTGTACTACTTTTTTGTGCTATAAATAATATTTTGGTAGTGTTTTGCAATGTTTATTTCAAAGAAAATTTTGTCGAGGTTCAAAAAATGCAAAATATTTTGTATTTTGTCCCTAATATTTCAGGCAGGGTCAAAGCTACAATGGTGCTGACACCAGAAAACCATTCTATGACATCTTACCTTTACAGATGTACCAAAAGTTTCTTCTTAAATCTAATAGCTTTGAGGCTATAAGTGATTTACTTTTGTGTGTTTTTGTCAGGCAGAAATTTATTCATACCCCCTTAGGGTGTAAGAGGTTAACACAAGACTTTGCTTCTGCAACTAAAGATCTTTCATTCCAATGATTTTGATACATTTTTAACCAGCCCTCTACCTTCTACTGTACCAACAGTAGGGGAGGTTATAAATGTTTTTAGGCAACATGGACAGAACAGATGGGCTTTGTTGTACATTTGTGTACTCTGCTAAACTGACATGTTACTGTAACAGATGAAAAAACAGTGTCCCTTCAATATCGTGTAACCTTCTCCAGAAGGCTTCAGTCACTCTGTATTAATAATAACAGTTAACACTTGTAAATAAAAAGCTTTCTAAAAGATTGTTAATTTGAAGAACTTCTTCCAGAATTGTGTTTTATGCACTTGGAACAGTACATAAAAAAAACGTTTAGCTGCAAGAAGAAATAATAATGTTAAACACCAGTCACTGAATTGAAGAACAGATGGCAGCACCAATCAAATGTGTTATGAAAATGGAGCTTGGAAGGGAGCTGGGAGGAAGGGGGTAGAAATGATAAAAAAGAGAGATTGGATGATAAGAGATTAAAAGATGAATAAGGCATGGAATACATCACTGCATTTAATTCAATGCATTTATGTTATACTTTGAATTGGAAAACAGTTTTTTCTGCATCTCTTATTAAACACTGAAAGGTATTAAATGTCCCCTCCCAGTTCTGCCCATGCCTGAAGCGTGACAGGTGGCTCTAATGATTAAAAAGGACCACCAAATGTCCTCTAACCTTTAAAGATACACTATTTGACTGAACTATTTTTTTTTCTCAAATGTTAACATTATAAGCAGTAGAAATGCAGAATGGGGGACAGAATGCTCCAATAAGCATCGATGTGATTATCCTTTTAGGCAAGAAGATGCTCATTATTCTACCTTCACTCCAATGCCACTTCACTCTGGTGGTGTTTGTTTGTCCCTTCTGAGTATATTTATCTGTACAGCTGCTCTTAATAATGACTTCACTTTTAAATTGGATATTGATATTTGTAATAGTGTGTTCTCTTATTTTACCTTATTTTTATTAAAGTTTTTATTCAATAGAAGTAACATTTTAAGTAAAGAATGTGCTGATATACTATGACATTTTGCTCTTCCAAAGCTCTGGGTTTCTCTTAAGGCATGACTTGGGCATTGACTTCATGCCCAAATTAATCATCTTTCAGACATAATGAAATGGGCTTCATCCTAGCTTTAACTATAAGTGTACTCCACATAAGTTTATAAACTGATTATTTCTGTTTAATCACAGAGGACTCAAGGCTGGACTTGTCCTTGATGTTTTGGCAACTGCTTCAAAACTTAAAGACCTTATCTAGTTATTAAACTTTCATCCACATCTAAGTCTTTAATCAAATTTCTGAACAGTGAACCAAGCTTAAAGTGATTTAAAAGCTTCATGAAGTCGTTTGTGCCAAACTAATTTCACTCCTCTGGTGCTTTGCAGGAAACGGCTACATTGAAGGGAAGGAGCTGGAGAGCTTCTTCATAGAGCTGGAGACCGCAAGGCGAGGAGCTGGTGTGGTACGTGTCCTCATGATGCACGATGCTGTAACACTTTTGATCTCTACCAAGATTTTTATGGCCACTTCAAAACAAAGACGCTGCAGTTCTTAACCAGTTTGTACTTAATTTGGCAATGTGCTTAGAGTCAGTGACCATTTGGAAAACAGACTTCTGCCCAAGTTTTAACTACTTCATAGCTTTAATATGTTACCAAATAAAGCTCTTTCTCATTTCATAATCTTTTTTCTAATATGCACTACTTCTGTCAGAACTCAGAACGTTGGACCCAGAATTCAGTCAGACAGAATAAAGTGATTTATAAAAAGCGTGTATCAACTGCCCAGTGATCTGTGGCTTGTCAGCTTCAACTAGATGACCAGAATCTCTGTAGAGGTAGAAACAAAGGTTAGTGACCACGTAACTCTGACGGGGAATGATAGCGAGCATGTTAGTCACTAACCTGGCTTTTAAGTTCAATTCGAGCCCAGAGGAAGGAGTGGAATTCAGCCAGATGATTTTCCACAGCATGTGATGGAAGCTGCCCAGAGAGTTCCAGGAGTAGAAGCCAAATGAGCTGCAGAGCAAACCGATGGGCAGAAGCCAGCAGACGAGGAAGAGCAGAAGTGTTCGGAATGAAATCCAAAGCCAGGCCAGAAGATCAGAGATCCGAAGAGGTACCGAAGGGAAATCCAAGCCGGAGTCAGGAGACAGATCCAAGATCGTTAGCAGGCAGAATCCAATAGAAGTCTGAAGAAAGGTCAGGAAAACAGATCAGAATAGGAGCAGAAACTAGTCAGGATCAGGCAATCAGAATAACACACTGGGTACGCTAGAGAACTCTCACCTACGACTCAAATAATCTGGCACTGATGGCTGGGACCAAGCAGTTTAAATATGAACTGGAACAGGTGGATTTGATGAATGAAAAAAAAAAAAATGGGTGCGGCTAGGCAGGTGAATAAATTAAACCAATAGTCCAGTCATCAGTGCCAAGATCATGACAAGTCCCTGTTGCAGCAAAACGCCCCCAAGACATGATGCTGCCTCCCACATGTGTCACAGTTGGGAAATCAGCTTTTTTGTCTCAAAAGTTACACATCTCACTAGCTATGGCAAAAAATCAAAAGTTGTATCACACTACGGGAAAAGTATTTAAATGTGTTTCTTTCACCGTGACTAGACTCCAAACTATAATTTTACTCTCTATTCAGTTGTTGCAATAATGGCCTCTTCCTCTTGTTTTGTTTTATAGCCTATATTAGTAGAGTAGAACATTTTTACCATGATTAATTATGCTATTTTCCCAGCTTCAGCTAGCATCTTTACAAGGTATTTAGTTAATATTATTAGGTATTAGGTTATTTTGCACATTTGCCATCAAAACCATGTAGGACCAACTCTGACATAATTTAAAATATATTCAGAAATAAATAATTGCTTAATGAATAAAAAGGAACCCTGCAGTCCTCACACACTACAGCAACTTAAGCCTTAATTATGAGTAACAAAGGAATAGAAATCTAGTTTTGTTATTGTTCTGATTTTTATCCATTTATTTCTTTTTTGCTCCTTTATGCTGTTGGAGTTAGTCATTCAAACAGAAACGTGTTAATCTTGGGGACATATTCACACTGCTGTTAAAAAATGACTTATAAATATCATGCTTTAGCTTGGTGAGAACTCCAATTAAGAGCAGAACTGAGCTCACACTAGATGATTTAATAAAAAAGAAACAGAACTTGCAAGAATGTTTTGCACAAGGAGTTGAGACAGAAAGCATAGGAACTTGATGATGTATGGAGTAGAAGAAAACAGAGACAAGGGACATGGCGGAGAACCGGGCAAAAGGACAAGCAAACAGAAAAAATTAAGTTAAAGTGTTAAACAAACAGGTGCAGTTTAGGTAAGCAGATTCAGCGGCTTTACATTGGCAATTGTTGAGTGTGGCAGACTCGAAATCAGAGCAGAGCAAAAATAGCAAAAAAAAAAAACCTAAGGAAAATAAGCACAAAAAATAAACACAGGGACCTAAGAAAGAAAGACTTAAAGAGCAGATCGAACAGCAATGAAATGGTTATAATAAATCTATTAAAGAAAATTAAAACTCAATATTTCCATCATAATTTGAACTGTATGTATTTATGTGAATTTTTATTATTAAATAAGTTTTGGCTTTATTCGCACAAAATAAACTCTTTAACCAACTGAGACATGCATGATTTGTTGTATTTGCAGGACCCTTCACACGCTCTATTCAAGGAAAAACTGAAGGAGTTCATGGCCAACTTTGACAAGAACTCTGATGGCAGAATTGAGATGTCTGAGGTGAGACCAGAGGCCGATTTCACAAAATGAAGATAAGGGCTTAAGTCAGGTTTTTCTAGATATCCCGGCTTAATTACGTACTAATTAGATTCACAAAAGCAGCAAAACATACGTTACCATGGTGATTTACTCTGTGCAGCTTGCCTGCTCCAGATCAGATCAGGCTAACAGCCAGGCTTACCTAATCCTACTGCCTATCTGTTCAGTCAGCATCATACCCAATCAGAAACCAATGGGTTTGGTTTACGATTTTATTTTCCACTCCGGGTACTTTGGTATTTTTCTATCAGCCTAGGTTAAAGAACACTATCAGGGTAGCCTATACCATTGTTACCTTCAATTTTTTTTATCTGGACATTATTACTGTTTGATCATGTTTTTAAAGAGGGCTTTTGTAAGTTTTACAGAAAAGCATTTAATACACTATTGTTGTATCGATGATATAAGAGGAATGGCTGAAAAAGAAGCAAAGATGTTGTCCGTAATATCAGCCTATAAAAATCACTCCAAACAGATGCGTTCCTCTACTATAGCGTGCCCATATTTCAATTCTTTCAACAATTACACTTTTGTTACCTTTGCACATTGTTGGGTCCCAAAATTCAGCACTGTACAGAATGAAGAAATATCTTGATCATTACACAGAGGATCTTTCTTAGGCTAAGATTTATCATTAGTGGTATGTTCCTGAATGCAGTAGGAGATGCTGAAGATCTTTAGCAAAGCCAATAATTGCTACACCGTCAGAAATGTGGATTTGGCATTAAACATATGTACGCACAACTTCATAATCTTCAGAACCCCTAACAGAGAAATAAAATACATCATGGAGGGAATATTGCAAGGAACATGAACTAGGAATACAGGATTCCCTCAATACTGTTGGGGTGCTGGACTGTACATGTATTAGGATAAAACGCCCCTCTGAAGCACATAAGGGCGATGTAGTTAACAAAAAATCCAAACGTTCGGATCAGAATGAGCTATGGTTAGGCCTGTGAAATACATAAATGTATTATATGCTCTGAATTACCTGAATCTTCCCTCCCTGGATGCTGCAAAGTCGCAGCCCACTGCTCCCCATAGGGGATGGGTTAAATGCAAGTAGTTACTTTCTCCATGGTGAGATCAATAAAGTTCAATTTATTTTATTTATTTATCACCTGTTTGTGCAGTTGGTGCAGATTCTACCGACAGAGGAAAATTTCCTGATCTGTTTCAGAGAGTTTGTGCGATCCAGTGCTGAATTCATGGACGTAAGTTGGCACATTTTCACATGTGTGTCCCTCACCTTGCTTGTTAATAAGTGTGCCTACATTGCTCCTTACATTAGGTCTGCTCAGTCAACCCTTTAATGAAAGCTGTAGGTCCTCCGGTCTAATGACTGTAAAAGTTAGCCATGGTTTTTTCTCAGTTGGGTTTTCGGAGTTTGTTCACTGAATATCTGATAAATCTAACTGAGCTGTGTAATTTCCTCACAAACGCCTCCAGCAAGCATCGCCTTTACAGTCTGTCCTATGGGACGCATGTCCAGCTGCCCCATAATCCCTTCAGTTTCCGTGCCAAGTCTCTTTTAATGTTTTGGCACTCCAGTACGGATATAAACCGTTCATCAAGACCATTGTTTTCTGTGTAAACATTTCAAAATTTTTTAAAATGTAACGCTAATAATTAAATCAGTGTTACAATTAACTTATGCATTAATAAAACTGCTACATGTTTTGTCCAATCTGCTTTTTCAGATGTATGTTGGATGTTAAAGTAATCTGAGGGAAAAACAGAGAGGCATCAAACATAAGCTCCACCGTAACCAAACATACAGTACACTCCAAGCACACACTTCACTTATTTCCTTTTAGGAGGATTTTATGGTGGGATGTTCAGGCTTTTCCGTGTATTAAAGCTATTCTCAGAAACGCCATACATTATGGATGTTCTGCAGCTTTCAGTAGGGGGGTTAGGGGGTTAGTGATTACAACAAGCATTTTAGGTGTCTATCTTTGATACAGTCTCTAAGAAGTTCTATATTTATACAAAGTCAAACAACGAATGTATGTTTTTGCTGTAGTTTGAAAAGATGCAGATGTTTTTGTTTTTTTTCATTGTGACTGAAATCAGGTTGTCTTAAAACATCCTCTCCTGCAGGCTTGGCGGAGATATGACACTGATCGTAGTGGCTACATTGAGTCCAATGAACTGAAGGTAACACCTCAAACTTCAGAAACATCACCTGGGGAACTTTTTGCATGCTTGAAATGCAAAATTGCATGTTTTTATGTTGTCTTCAATGGATGACAACACTTGTTTCATCTTTAGCCTTGGAATATTCCAGTACATTTTTGCACTCAATCTTTTATCGATAATATGAAGTCTGATTGTCTCATGTGTTGTAAGACAGCCCACATCTTGATGTTTACACCTGCCACCTTCACTTTTGCTGCAGTGTTTTTGGGTGATGTGCAGCCCCATGACTACACTGTATACTGGGCTTCCCCAAATCTGTACAAAACCTTTAAACACATGTTATGCTATGTTCGAATTTATGGGCTGCATCCCCCGAAGGCCAGATTTGTCAGCCATTTACGTCATAGCACAGCACTGTGGTCTCTTCGGATTCAAAGACTCCTTCGTATGCGGCTGACAAATGCAGCCTTTTTTTCTGCAGGTTTGAAGGACAGGTCCGCAGTCTCCTCCGTGGCTTAGGGTTTCAATGATTAATTTTAGTCCAAGCAAACCGGCATCTCTGTGCTCACAGGAAAAAGGGAAATGGTGACAGGGTAGTGACAGCCGGTAAAGGCTAGACCTGTTTGAATCTATATCCCAAGTTTTCAGGCCTTAGAACAGACAACCCCAACGTTTGTCCTCTGGGGCAGCTGTCCTGCAGGTCTTAGAGGTTTCCCTGCTTTAGCACAGCTGATTATGATGATTGCAGTTGAGCAAAAGCCTGGTAATCAGCTTTCAGTCAAAATTAGCTGTGCTGGAGCACAGAAACCTCTAAAATCTGTACGACAGCGGTCCTTGAGGACTGACTTTGGGGATGCCTGCCTTAGAAGGACCCAGTCCAGGTAGAGCGAGTCCTTAGGGGGACGTAGCCGCTGAAATCGAAGGCAGCCATGGACAATAGTTACTAATGCATCACAGGTCGATGGAAAATTTCTTAAACATAGAATAAATATGGGAAAATTAGAGACATTTAACTAATAAAATGATCAAAATCCCAGAATATACACATATAGCATAAAAAGTAAATTATTAACCTCACTGACTAAGTGAATTCCTTGTAGAGAGCTGGTTTTCTGTAAGTTGATGAGGGAGTGGTTGAGAACAAGAGGGGGTTAACTTTGTCGATATTGTTTCAATATATCAGAAATGCAATTAAAGTATTTTGTTAAAAGTTTTTTTTTCACTAAATAATTTCATTAAAGGAATAGTACACCCAAAACATGATTAGCCTTCATTTTCTACTCACCCCCATGCTGAACAACACTCTGGAGTACTTTTTTGATATCTCAAATGCATCTGGAGATCTGGGAGGCTTCTTGCTGTCTGCTGACATTCAAATAATGGAGGTCTATGGTGACCGAGACAGAAAGGTCCATAAAAGTCCACAAAAAACGTGTCAATATTCCTCCATACTGCTCGTCCAATGTATTCCAAGTGTCCTGAGTGGGTAGCATCCAGAATTTACTCGAAACGAAGTCATTTAGAATGTTTTTAGAGCATAAACAGTAGTGTATAGTATTTCCTGAAAGCGCGCACATGCCGCTCACGACGCTACGGAAGCCGGCAGACCAAACCAGCGCATTCAGCTCGGCAAAGAACTCATGCTCTTCCTCAACACTGAAGTCCTCAGACATTTTTCTTTCGTTGTTTCTTTCTTTGCACAGGTAAACAGCACATTTCTTCTTCTACGCTTGCATTATTGGCAGAGCAGACGCTGAATGCGCACTTTCATCTGGTTTGGTCTGCCGGCTTCCGTAGCGTCATGAGCGCGCATGTGCGCGCTTTCAGGAAATCCTATACACTACTGTTTATGCTCTAAAAACATTCTAAATGACCTCGTTTCGAGTAAATTCTGGATGCTACCCACTCAGGACACTTGGAATACATTGGACGAGCAGTATGGAGGAATATTGACACGTTTTTTGTGGACTTTTATGGACCTTTCTGTCTCGGTCACCATAGACCTCCATTATTTGAATGTCAGCAGACAGCAAGAAGCCTCCCAGATCTCCAGATGCATTTGAGATATCAAAAAAGTACTCCAGAGTGTTGTTCAGCATGGGGGTGAGTAGAAAATGAAGGCTAATCATGTTTTGGGTGTACTATTCCTTTAACAACACACCACGCTATCATCCGACTACTTCCTGCCATTGTCTTCTTTTCCAGCAGTAGTAAAAGTTGGTGGTTTATCATATGACTTGTATGATGCAAAAAATTCATCTATTGCAGATTTGCAAAATGCACAAATTTTGAGATGGATAAAAAAACCCACATCATCCTAGCGCAGACACTTCATATTCAAAAAAATAATTATTATTTTTTCTAGTTGTCCATTATGTGATTTTTGTAAATAGTATTTGCAGTTTTGTGGTCAATGCTAATTGAGCAGATACAGGGGAGAACTTGGGAGGTAACCTTAAGAAGATTCAGAGAGAGTGTAGTTGGGAGACAGAGGGCTAGAGGTACCACATAGGTAAACACTTGATGAGAACTGGCAGCCAGATCCTCTTAAACTCCAGCTGATGGGCTTGATGAAATGCAGGTGTGCAAAGGAAGTCGATGAAAAGGAAAGGTCCACAGGTTGTCCAAAGGTACTGTTCCCTATCAGCAAGAAAATCCTGGGTTCAGTTCCCAGCTTTGGGTCTTTCTGTGTTCGGTTTTATGTGCTCCCCAGGAATCCAGCTTCCTCCAACAATCCATAAACATGACTGTTAGGGTTATAATTGTTTTTTCTCAATTGCTCTTGGATGGAAAGGTGTTTTTAAATCTATATCTCTGTCCTGCAATGGCGACCTGTCCAGGGTGTACCCCTCCTTTCGACCATACAGTGCTGGAGATAGGCAACAGCCTGGTGTGACCCTATTGGATCAGCAGTAGAAGATTGATGGATGGATATTTATTCTGTAGAAATTTACTTTTCATTGATTTCCAGCATTAATACAGGGAGCTGAAAATGTTTGCTGTTCTCTTATCGCTGATTTTGATTGTTTTTCTGTTCTGAGGGTTTCCTGTCAGACCTGCTAAAGAAGGCCAACAGAGATTATGATGACAAGAAGCTTAATGACTACACACAGACAATTGTGAGTACAAAATCTGCAGAAAAAATTACCTTACTAGCCTTGCTAAAGCGCCTGTCACACCATTTAGCCAGCATATACCTGACATCCCAGAATTTCCTAAAATGCTGGCATAATCTGAACTTTCTATGTATTTTTTCCATTTTGGGCATATACATAGATTATTCATAACGATTCCAGAACTTATGTCTAATGACAGCATAACTTTTGGATATCGCATGGCAGTGTAATGCCCATTAGATCTCACAAGCTAGTGTCCTGAGGGGGGCAGCAATGCGCCCAGAGGCGCCCGGCCAGCATAAAAAGATAGGGGTATTAACCCTAGCTGCTGTTTACTACCCGCCAAAAAAAAAAAAAAAGAATAAATAAATCACCTTCTTGTTCACCCTATGATGGGGATGCAGTCTGGAGGGGTACAGACGGTTTCCTCCTGTTAACCCCCTTTTATACCAAAATGCTGCCAATATGCCATTATACAGTACAGTAGATGTAAGTTAGAAACACGGCCAGCGGTCGTCTAAAACACATCAAATATGTTGATATGGGTTGGAGATAAATTCTTGCTAAGTTACGCATGAGTTATGCACAAGTTACTCAAAGGTTTTGGATAAGCTAGACACCACGACTTATGAGTAACTTACACTCAACGTTAGTAAAAGATCAAATAGCTTACCTGTAACTTATGAACATACGCCGGCATACATTGAGCATGCTCAAAATTTCTTGACCTACTTGCCGTATGTTGACCTGTGCTAGCGTGTTTCAACATGCTTCAGCATGCTCATAACTTAAACAAATATAATTCATAACTTATCCAACATATGGAGCTTTTTTACCAGATTTTTTGAACATCAGGCATATGCTGGTCTAAATCGTCACGGTGTGACAGGGTCTTTATAAAGAGGTATATAAATCATTTTGTTCTTTTCATATTAACCCCAAAGCTTCAGACTAAATCTTTCAAGTTGTTCTTTTTAAAACTACCGTATATATTGACTATGAGATTGTTTCTTAATGATGCCAGAATTACAAAGTGCAGTTAACAGCTTGTCAAGTGCATAATTTAGCATTATGTGAAGCTTTGAATATTCATAGCATTTGTTGCATATCGTGCACCTATAGTGCTGAGATGTCAATTTTGTTGCCAGCATTGTCAGTCGGCCATCTGTGAGTTGAGTAATCTCAACAGCTGCTGCTTTAGGGGATCATTTTAGCTTGTGATTTGTTTATGAACCACCTCTGATAATATCCTTTGTTTTTTCGGCAGTTGAAGATGTTTGACACGAATGGTGATGGTAAACTTGGGCTCTCTGAGATGGCAAGGTGATTAACATTTTTATTTGTTGTTCTTATTTTAGTATTCCCTGAAGTGTTTTCCTGAGATTAACTCTAAGGAGCTTCTGTCTTTTAATCACAGGCTTCTACCAGTCCAGGAAAATTTTCTTATCAAGTTTCAGGTAACATTGCATGGTTAAAAAAAAAAAAACTCAACAGAAATGACTACCTTAACATACTTTGTACTGTTTTATTTCAAAACAAAGGGCTTTGTGAGAGTATTTCTTATAAAACGGGAGCAATACAGTTTGTCCAAGTGCAGTTGCTGTATTGTGACATCATCAGCAGTGGAAGGGCCCCGAGCAGATCTGTTACCTACAGTGGCACCATGTTGTGTGGAGTCTTTTCAGCATGGCCAGTAAAGCCGGTCAGAGTTAACAGACTATGGATGCAGCTACATGTAGAGCAACCCTGAAGGAAAACCTTTTATTGCTGCAGAAGTTCATCTTCCAGGACAGTGACTCAGGTTATGCACACACAATAAGATAGATTACAACACGTGTTAGAAGGGCTAGATTAATTAAATCTAATTCATAACTGTGACATAAAGGCTTCCAACACTTTTAAGACCTCTTAAAAAATAATAGAAAAGTATTTTTTCTCACTTTACAAATCTTGCCATTGTTTGTGTTTATGGGACACCTCAAATCCGATTAAAATACAAACCAATTAAAGTAAAAAAAAAATGTGTTTTTTAACAGACTACAGACAGATAGGGACACAACTGTGGCACTTTTTGACCACTGCTGTTAGTTTGGCTAACAGCAGCAAAACCTTCTGAATGATACTATGTTTAGACATTTGTCTTAAAATATGTAAAAAAAAAAATATTTCCTAAAAATAAGCATTAATCTAAAAAGTAAAACAAATATAAAACTTAATGAAATTAGATGTGTTTTTAAATCTACCTTTACTGCCACAATGTCAGTCGTCAGCTGTTCCACTTAAATAAGCTGAAGTCTGTTTGTTTGGGCGTGCTATATGCAGAATTTGTCCATCCTCAGCATTTCGTGTGTGGCACAAATCCTACTTAACAGTGGCCATGTTGAAGATTAAACTAGGTGGAAGCACAAAGTGTAGAAGCATCTTCAGGCTTTCATGTTGCAAATATAGAATTCAGTAATCCGTTGGCTTTAACATTGTGATTTTTATGTTACATTAAAGAGGGCGCAACATGTGTGAAGAAAAACATTTAGAGCACTAATAGTTCAAACCTAAATCTATTTTGACCCTTTCTTCATCCCTTTGCTGCATGCTGGTCAAATCTAATTTTTTTGAGTAGCTGGCCCTAAATCGCTCAAGCATAGGAGAAAAAATATTGAAGTGGAGGCAGTAATGGGACAGTGAGTTTTTCATGAATGCAAAAGATTATGGGATGGGAATAGGCATTTTTAGGCCTCAATGTTTACACCTGGCTTTATAGGAAACCAAACCCCTGTGTTAAAACCAGTAGCTGTTGAGATATAGAAACAGAGTGAGGAGCTTTTTTCCTTACAGGAAGTTTCAGAGTAGAGATGCTGCTGCCCTGTATTTAGTGCAACAAGGTAAAAAAAATTTCAGCATTCGATCAGGAGCTGTCTTGAATGCCTGTTTGAAGCCTTTCCTGGTACTTCTTGCCTGGGGAGGACCCTAAAATAGAGCCTGAAACATCTGGTGGATTAGATATCCTAATAAACCTAAAAAGAAAAAATGTGCAGTTTGACCAAGGCAGGCACAGCGTACCTTTAAAAATTGCATATACATGTGATAGATACAAAATTAAAAGCAGCATAAGCTGTACAATAAAAAGCAAAACTTTACTCGTGTAACCCAGGTTCTTTGATAACAGAGAGAGATGTCTCACTATGAGAATCACCTTGGGTCTCCCCGTTGTTCAGCACTTTGGTAATCCACTTCTCCAAAAAGGAAGATCCACCAAACCAACCTCAAATGATTCCTTCTTGAGCAGGATTCCAGATCTAGAACATCTAAAAACGCAGAAAATCTGGATAACAAACCTGCCAAGCAATCTATATGGCCAAAACACGTCTATAAAATCAGTTTAGTAAATGTAGATAATTCTTAATAGGTTTGTGCATTATCTTGGATTTGTTCTAAACAGCAGGCTTCATCCTTAGCCAGTTTTCACTCATATTAAATAATTTATTCATAACTATAATTTCTAAATATGAACTCTTATATAGAAGGCTATTTATCTGTATTTATTCATTTTCCTTTTGTATTCTGCATCCAGCTACTGTTCTGGGTTGTTGAATTTATGTACTATGGAGTAGTGCCAGATGACCTCCTGATGAAGAGGGATGGCATGGGTCCAGCTGGTCAGTCTCTCGATTACTGAACCCTGTTCAGCACATAGATCAAAGAGCAATGCTCTAGATAGTCTGAATGGCTGATAGAACATTATGGGTCAGTAAATCCAGGTGATACGTTGTAACGTGTTGCCTCCCAATTCTCCCGTTTTAATGCATTCATCGCACAACATTACATACAAGAGTTTCTCAGTAATTAAAATCTTTGCAGCAATCAGTGTGAACGCCTCACAACTTTGTTGAATCTGATGAGGGAGATGGGAGGGTGAGGAAATATTGCTCATTGCCATTTTTTATTTATGTATTTAAGCAGTCGTCAGGATAGTTCACCAATGCCAACACAAATCACACTGCAATATTGGATGCTTATGATAACATAAATCTAAGATTAATGTTTTATATAAAATGATATAGACGTTCTAAGGGAGTGGTTTCCAATCTTTTTTGACTTGTTTACTCCTTTGGGCATTTTATCATACCATGGGTACTCCCCTCAACCAACAGCGGAATGTACAATAACTAATTATAAAATAAAGCATTTAATTCTTCGGCCCTTTATTCGTTAAAACTCAAATAAAACAATATAATTTTGTTGCCAGAAGCAAGTAAGAAATCTAAATAAATACAATATAAAATCATACTATAAATTTACCTTTATAAAACTGGAGCTGCTCTGAGAAACTCCCCTATAATCACATTTAAACTCAGAACAAAATACAAAAAAATACAAAAAAATTATAGGTTTGATAAGCTCAGGTGTGGAATAAAAGCTGATCTGAGGCCGTTTCTATATCCAGTCTGTCCCTCTGCTTGGTTTTGATGTGTGTCAAAGCTCAAGGTGAAATCAAATAACTTACTTTTTGGTTAAAAAAAAGCTGTTTTTATTTTTCAGGTGGGTCTTCACAAAGCAGAAGGGATCCAAACCATCGAAACTATTTTATTTTAATACCTAAGACATAAAATATTTTCATGTACCCCTTGCAATGCAATCGCGGAATCACTGTTCTAAGACTTCTAATCTGGCTTAAATTCGCCATCTCCCCACTTGTGTCGCCGTTTTCCCTTTTCCTCTAAAATATGTTTCAAGCATTTACAAGTCTTAAGCCTTTAAGTTTTTTTAAGTTTTTTGCTTGTTTTTTGCCAACACAAGCAAATTATCAGAGCCCTGATCATTTGACTCGGGTGTGTTGAAGCAGAGACACATCTTAAAGTTGACACCTGTTCTACTGTAAACGTGGCTTCGCAGAGTGGACCCAGACATTACCAGGAAGAATCTAATGATCTAATTCTGTAATAAAGACCTTGGATTAGAGACCAGAATTTTGTTGCAATAAACACAGCACCGATAATTGTTATCTTCTGCAGCAATGTTGACTAGGGAGCAGTCAAATTTCAGTATACCATTTCCATAGTCTGGTGGTGATATAAGATTATATTGTCTTTAAGCCAAATAACAAGAAAATGAGCTGCAAAGAGTGTGCAGGAAATCGTAAAATACGGAAAAAGCAGCGGATAGTTTAAAAGCAGCTTTTGCCTTGCGAGACAGGATTTAGCTTTGACCAATCAGATCCTGTTGGTTGTAACCTCAAAAAGTGCATTACAATCCATACTGTCAATCAGTATCAAAATCAAAGATTTCTCATGTCTATAACTAAAGTTTTGAATTTTTATAAAAAAAATTTTTTTATATATATATGTGTGTATGTTAATTTGTATTTGTGCTTACACCTATATTCTAACAGTCACTTAATCACTTTAATAAAACCAAAAAATGCTCATTTTGTTTTTGTTTTGGCATCACAGCAGATCCTTTTCTGGTGTAATGTATTTGGCTGTGCACCCTTTATCACACTGCTATAATAAGATGATTTCTACTGAGCAGCTTCAAGCCTATGTTTCAGCTCACAGTTTATCTACACTGCTTATCCATACATTGTTGGATTATTATGACATTATAATAATGGCTGCTTAAAAACACAGAGACAAGCCTTAAGCTTATTTCAATGTAGTTTTTGTTTGTTATTAACATCATTTGGATTCTTTTGAGGTTTAAAAATTTGCAGCACAGTCACATTTTGTAAATCTACAAATGTCTTGCCCTATTTGTTCCAGTTTAAATATACTGGCCTGTAAGAGCAGATCAACAGTTTCTCTTGACCAAGGATTAGTCAGTCTGATGAGGATTAACTGAACTCTAGTCCCTGTTATCATAATCTGCATGGATTATGATCTGTGGTTTATCTGGGGCTTTTACTGCTCTCGAGAAATGTGCATTGGTTTCTAATATTCTCACTTTCTGTCACTTTTATGCTACAGGGTATCAGACTCACTGTTAAAGAATTCGACTCGCTCTTCACCTTCTATGATAAGGTTAGACATGTCTTTCTGTGTATAAATGTGAAAGGTACCCAAGCTAAAATCCGTAGCTATTGTTGTGGGTTTTTTATGCTGTGTAACCAGCCAGACATCTTTAAAATGGACATCTGTTCACTCTGTACATGTTGTTACATGGTGGGGGTGGTGGAAAACAGATGATCAAGTCATATGGATGCATCCTCCAGAGAGCGGCTCATGTCAATCTGTCTAATGTATCTCCAGCTAACAGAAATCTAATGCAAATGTTGACTAAATGACAGCAGCAGACTAAGTGTGCTTGGCTAAATGACGCCATTGTCAGTCCCATTTTGATATTCCTGAAAAGGATTGCAGATTTTTTGCGTTACTTAGCAACATATTTCCATGTATTTTTAATACTAACACATTTTTTTCTTGTAGCTTTAATAAATACTCACATTTAGAAATCATAAATTAAGATCATTTTAAAGATTAAAAGCAAGTGAATTAACAATTACTTAAATAGGCTAAAATTTATTCAACACAAGACTTGAAATAGATGCAACAGAAGAAAAATGTATATATCGATGATTCGCTAAATTTTTTAATATTTAAACACCAAACTGTATGAATATTATTGGAAATTATATAGGTATTAATATACCATTCATTCATTTTATCAATCCTGTCACTTATTAAATTGGCACAATTTAAGATGTATTTATAGCTTTCAAAAATGTATATAATATCTCACTAAATTCTCGATAAACCAAATGAAGGCAACCACTCCTTCATTCCTTTCTGCAAATACCAGGCTTGTTATACTGACTTGTATACTTGTTATAGTGATGACTCAGCTGAAATTCAATTTAGAGTAGTGCTGTTGTGAGGACTCTACATTAGTCATGTTAAAAGCTGGAGAAAAAACTCTTTCTCCTATGGATAATGTCGTATCTGTTGTATTTCCTTTATAATAAGGATGGCAATGGCTATATTGATGAACAGGAGCTGGATGCTCTGCTGAAGGACCTCTGTGACAAGAACAAAATGGTAATGCATCCTTAACTCATTGATTAATACATTCAGAATATCTGCTTGTTAAATACAGCAGAAATGGTGATTCTGTATGGCTGTGTCGTTTCCTAACAGGACTTGGACTCGACCGGCCTGGTGGACTACAAGAAGAGCATCATGGCTCTGTCTGACGGAGGGAAACTGTACCGCACTGAGATGGAGATTGTCCTGTGCCGGGACTCCACACTGTGACCTACCTGCCTGTCTTCTGCCTGCTTGGGACCCTCCTGTCTTCCTGCACTGCTTCCTCCTTCCTACCTCTCAATGTAACCTGGTGCATGTGTGACCTCCGGCCAAAACACTTAGAGCAAAGACAACGGTGCGCCTGAAAGCACAGAAAATACCCGCTGATCTTGCTGTTTTAGATGTTTCTTTTCTTACAAAATATAAAGCTAAGTATTAAGATTCTAATGGTAACTGAATATTATTGTGCAATTTGCTTTGTATTTTTAAGTTATTAAAAATGTTCTCTGTAGATGTAGGAATATATATTTATTCTGTAGCATTTCCTTGTTTTGTTTATTTTGGTTGAATTTGTTATAATTTTCTAGTTTTATTTCAGGAGGCTGGTACTGTTCTATAGAAATATACATTTGGAGAAAAAAAAATAAACTGAACGGAAATATAAAAGCTGCTCCAATAAGTGTTTTTGTCTGTTTCTCTTAAACACTCAGCTCTGGGTCCAGTGAGTTCAAAGATAGCATTATGTCAGGTCCACAGAATGTGAGTGTTTCCCTGTACTCTGAAGTTCCCCTCACTGTCTCATCTCCTGCAAACAGAAAGTGTGTTGTAGAAGAAGCTTGTACGAATCAATTTTTTATAGTCTTAGGGGTACTGAGTGACTTTTTCAGGACCATTTGAAAGAAGGCGAGCAAAATAGGAGCTGCAGGATCAAATCGTACCTAATTTCCCTGAAAAAGGTCTGTCATGACACAGCATGAGGAACAACTAGAGCTTTAGGCTGCAACTATCCAAAATAGATAAATAAAAACAATAGAGTCAATAAGGCTTAACACAAAGGCTTTATATAAGTGAAAGCAATGCAGTGTAGACAAAAAGGTTTTTCCTCTGAATTTAACCCCCATGTGAGTGCAAGGCCATCTAATGTCCATCAATTAATTACCAGCCCATTCATATTTAATTAAACTGACAAAGTGGAATCACACCATCTTTCTCATGCCATTTCTGCAACTGCACACATGATCACTAAATCTTCACTGCAAATGTCCAACTTTGCACACACCTGGGCCTGCATACACACACACACACATACATATATAAAATCCTATTGATATACAGGGGAACACACAGGGACGGTATGACTGCACACCAAGCTGTGAGCTGCTGACAAGGGAAAAGAGAGTTATCTCTGCTCTGATTCCTTCACACACATCAGTCCCTCTCAGACTGGAGGAATAAGGCAAGCAGATGAGTTCACTTTATGCACAGCTGCACAGTATTGCAGAAATAGCCTCTATTCTTCTGCAGTGAAAAGTTAGAACTTGATTTGCAGCTGAAGGTACAGGTTATGTTTAAAGTGCAATTTTCAGTAAATATAGTCTCGGTGTTTCATTTATCAAACTTAATTGGACTCGTCCTGGTTGAAGCTTGGTGGAACAAAGATGGTGAGAATAACAAGAACTATAGGGATTCTATTTAATGTTATGGAGAATCTTTATTTGAGAACTTTAACACCTTTTCGATTAATTGGATTTCTATTGTATAAAACTCCAAATCTAATCATCAAAACCAATACAGGTCTAGATTAAAATTTCCAACCATAGATTTCCATTATCAGTCCTGTCATCTGCAGAAATAGGTGGCTCTGCAGTCATTGGGTGCATCAAAGATGAACAAGAAGCTGGGTAAACGAAGCTGGTGAGCCACTTTGTGGAAACAATCATCTAATCCTGAATAAAACTGCATAATGGACAGCCTAAGGGTTGCAATGATTCATCACTGATGTATGGCTCATAATTGTATTCAATATCGGTGATATATTTTTTATATTTCCGTCCACATTACAATCTATATGGCTAGAGCATTTGTCACTGACTGGAGTTTCTGACTTTTTGTAGTGTTATGTAATTTGCTTTTGCTTTTTAAAATCAAATATTTCTAAAATGTAATATTGGAACAGCTCTGAAAACATGTTAAAATAATTGCCATAAGGTTCTACAGGAATCTGCTGTGGGTTTTGTTGGCAGTCTTTCTGATGCTTTTATGTTTTTATACAGTATATCAATATTGAAAATATACAGTAAATAAAAAAACCCTGAAATTAATATATTGTCATTTAAGTTATGTCTAAATTGTCCAGCCCTAGCACAGTCGTAAGTATGCGCTCCAAAACACTATTGAGCACCAACACAATGTCTTCAGTCAGAGGCTTTACCAGATCAATAGCAAGACAGAGTGCTACAGATTGTCTTTCCTGTCTACAGTTATTAACTTATATAAAAACTTACTGGAGAAAAAAAACTATGAGTTACAACAGCATTTAATGTCCCTTTAGGATCAATCCGTCATTTTTGGGAATATATTTTGGCATTTCATTTTAACAAGATAAGTCAGAATACATGCAGTTTTAAGGTAAAGATTAGCTTGTTTTCACATCCTGCTGCCTCCTTTCTATTCTTTCACGGGGGGTCTGGTGGGTAAATCTATATCTTCTGTGCACAGATTCAGGGCTGACATGTGAGTCAAGGTCGGGTGTCTGTTTATTGCCTTGTTGGTGTGCCAGAAGATGCAGTTTTTATCTAGAGATTGAGAAAAGTGTTTCATGCACTGCCAGTCTCTACAGTTTGAGAAACCATGCTTACTTCCTCTAAGTAATTTACTTTGAATTTTTTTTCTTGTAGCTATATCAGACATTGTTAATCACAAGTTAAAAAATCATGTTTTATCCAGCAAATAGTTTTATTACTAAAGATAACAGACACATTTTCTTTTGCACTGAGAAAAAATGTTTGACCTCTTATAGGTGTCTTTTTTGTGCTTTTGTTTCATTTCCATCTTTCAGATAATCAAACAAATAGATTACAGCATGCAACTGTATAATTTTGTAGTTTTTGGATTAGTTTACCTACTATAACATAAGAGATAAAAAGCTATTCAGACCAAACTGGCCTTACATGATAAAGTTGTTGTCTGATTTGCTAAATCACTTTTTATCTGATTAACCACATTGTTTCACATAATAACAAGAACCCATTTTTTCAGCTGGACTCTCATTTTATTCATATTTTTAAAGAAAAATAATCATTTTATTTTATCATTTGTAACATTTAAATGTTACAAAAAAGCAGAAAACAAATTTTTTTTGCAGAGCTCCTATTTGGAGGGTTATTTTTTGATTGCAGGATCCAGAAATAATCCATTTTGGTCACCTTGGTGCTTAAATATTTAAACATTTTAATTTGCTATTATTGATTTATATACCAAAACAGTGCTTAGAATTAGGACTTCCTAAACGAGGACAGCTATATTTCAGTGACTAAGAACTTAAATTATCTCAGATTTATATATATATATACCGTATATATATATATATATATATATATATATATATATATATATATATATATATATATATATATATATTAATATTCTTTATTTTGATCTATAGTTATACATATTTTGTATTTTATTTTGTGTATCTGAAGCATGTAACTAAAGTAATTTCCCTCTGGGATTATTAAAGTATGTCTGAGTCTGAGATTTACTGTGTAACATTGCCCTCTAGTGGAGTCTCGTGAAACTAAACGAGTATGCCTGAGGTAAAGGTCAAAGGTTACTAGGGTATGTTATTTTTCTCATGAAATACATTAATGAATGAATATAGCTATATGTGTGTTCATTGGGTTTTCAGATGAAGTCTTACAGAAAAAGACACAAGGAGAGGAGGTAATGTGGTGGTTTTCACAATAACATACTTTAATGCGATCTCTTAGAAACCCTGAGGGCCAAAATATGTCATGAAATACATAAATGGGAATTCCCCATGAAACAATCAAATGTACCATGAAATAAACAGATGTCAAATGTATTCATAAACCTGTCTCTAATGTATGATTCAAATATTAAATATATCTTTAAGTTTTTTGTGTGTGTGTTTTCCATACGATAATTAAATTCATTTCAGTTTATTTATATAGCGGCAATTCACAACACATGTCAACTCAAGGCACTTTACAGTTCACCAGATCATACAGTAAAATTGATTCAAAGTTTTCTATCTAATGAAAACCAATTGATTGCATCGACTCACTGACTCAAAGCATGCTTGTAACTGTGGAGAGGGAAAACTCCCTTATAACAGGAAGAAACCTCCTGCAGAACCAGACTCAGTATGAGTGGCCATCTGCAAAGGCTGTCTGGGGTTCAAGGAGACCGAAGCAGAGATACAAAAAGCAGGAAACACACAGCCAGACAGACGAGCTCTGAGCCAGCTCCCATGTCAGCGGATGAAGAGAGCACATTCAGCTAGTCACAGTCAAAGAAACAGGACTACACTGGAAAAAAAGGCAGATCTCCAACATCTATAAACAAAGGTGCTGATGGCAGCAGCACAGCTGATAATTCTCTCCAGGATGGTGTCACAACCAGGAACAGACGAAGCAAAGCTACTATGAGAAAAAGCAGAGCGAGCATAACGTTTTTATGTGCCACAGTAAAAAAAACAACCTTGCCACATCCAGGCCTACCTAGTAAATTTGGTCTAAAACTGCCATTGTTGAGCCATATATAAATAGAGACAATTTTCTATCATTGGTTTTAATTTGCTTCCTCTAGATCATGTTCACGTATCCCTGAAAGAAATTTGTTACCTAATTAACAGTGAAACGACTACTTACTAACTAAAGACATGAACGTTTATTATTTCATCACAAAGTCAGGTCGACCAGAACAGCCAAAAGATACGGATCCTTAAAAAGAAACGGAACACACATCAACGTGATTTGAGTAGCTCATGACGTTCAGTTGTGTCGTCAGCACGTACTGCAAGCGTATCAGCGTGGTCTCTCCTGTCCTTCACTAACCGTCCACATCCTGCTAGGCTCCTCTCCGCCGAACAGCAACCATGGCCCTCCTCAAGTCAAACAAGGTGATCCACTGCTTGGGCAACATCTCCCCCGCTCTAGGAGCCTTGTCCAGCAGGAACAGGTAAACCAAACACCCAAGCTCGCCCACGCACATGCTAACCGAAAAGAGTGAGATTTTGCTCCTTTAACTGTGTGAGTCCTCTGAGAGATGTTCTCTTTACTCTGGAGCGTTTCGACATTTTTTGCCTTAGTTGTTTATTCACTTTTAAATCATATAAGCCAACTATGACGGGCGCCAGATAATGCTGCAATGTGGCGTGTTTAACAAGCAGCTGACAGGGGTCAAATGGTTTGAGCAGGCCCCGCTGTCCTGTCGGCTTATGCTAATCACCGTTGCGGTAGTTCGCTTTCTTTCTAAATAGTTTTGAAACACTTAATTTACCACATCTCCCTTATTAGCGAATCCCTACCGATTTTTGATAACCCTGGTGCTAGCAATGGTTGCTAAAATTATCTGTTGTTTAATAAGTCACTTTGTAGCACACGCCCCATGCTACGCATACTACCATGTGGAGGAAAATAATAGCCCGAGTTAGCTTGATTTTATTATGCTGATGAAGGTTCTCAGTCATCCAGGTCTATATAAGACTCAAACTCACTGCGGATCCAGACATTTGAATAGAGAAAGCTTCCTGGAGAGGTGGCGAAACGTCTTCAAATCTTGAAAACCAAGTCCAGTGGATATTTTTTGAATTTTTACGGCTTGATTTTATTATAATAAAAATAAACTTGCATTTCGTTAACAACCCCTTGTTCTCTGTCTTGATAAAACCCTTTTGCTATCAGGGCATTTGTGTCGCATCCAACATCAAGTTTGAGCAATATAATAAAAAAAAAAATTGAACCCGTGCGACTTGATTGGCTAACTGTGTTTGTTTCTGTGCGCTGATTGGTCTTCGGTTTCCACCTCTGGTCGCTGATTGGTTAAGAGCAAGACCAGAAAGAAATGCCGGTACGTCCTTTAACTTTGTGCTTGGAGGGCAAACTCAGTTAGCCACGGAATGATTGTCTTTAAAAAAAATAATAATAATAAAAGCTTATTATTTTTAATTAAGGCATCTTTAAAATGCTAAGCTTTATTAGAAGCTATCACAGAGCGGTTGATAAACAGTATTCTCCTTTCAAGCTATCTTCAGATGTTGCTTGAAATTAAAGTATTAGAAATACATTTTAAAAAGTAACGATCAAGATAAAAAAAATAAGATTAAGGCGGTCTTAACTATTTGAATCAACGTTTTCAAAATAAATTTAACAAATATAAAGAAAAGCTTTGACATGATTTAGCCCCAGTTATTGAAAAGGTGCATCTTTTTTTTTTTTTTTTTTTTTTTTTTTTGCATACCGGTACATTAATAATGTATATTGTTTCGTGTTATGTATATTGTATGTCCTAGAGTGGCATTAGCAGTCTTATCAGTTTCATTAGATTGACTTTGTTTCCTAGAACAAAGGTCTCACCTTAAAAGTGATGATTCTATAAACTTAGACATATAGTGAGAAAAAACAATCTCATAACTTGCCAAAAGGCCTTTGCTCTATTGATCTCTGAAGTGAAGCTCTGCAAAGTCCCCCCCCCCCCCCCCCCCCCCCCCTTTTTTTTTGTAGGTTACAGCGGCTTATTTAAGCACCAACTGTGTATTTTCTCCATTGACATACATTCTTTGTTCTTACATACAGAGCGAAAACTTATTGTTTTAAGTATGCACAACCAACTTTTCTTGTACCTAAGCTAATTTGCAAATATTAAGTTTAAGGTATGTAGTCCGGCTCCATAATATGGTGATGAATAGATTACGCAGACTATAATCCAGATTGAAACAACTGCATAACAATTGCACATAAATAGCCCAGCTAACTCTTACGGAGCTGATACTTCTTGCTAAATATCATGCGATAGATTTGTTTCAAAAGGAATCTAATTGACAGACACTAAAGTAATCTCACATTTAACTATCAATTTTAGACTTTTGCCCTTTGCAGAGGGTTCCCTCCTAAATTTAGCTTTAAAGTTCAAATGTTTTACAAAGCAAGAGAAACCTGAGACAATGAGTGAGGGAAGGAGTGCAGCTGAGGTCACAAAATGCAAAAGCGTTTATTAGGGCTGGATGATAGCTTGAAAGTATAATCCCAGATTGTTTCGTACCAAATCTCATTAATCTGATTAAGTTATGCATTTGTTTCTCTCAGTTTCATTGAATACTTAATTACATTACCTTATTAATTACCTTACTTACTTTTAAAACTTATTGCCTTGATTTTAGTTAATCCATTCTGGGTTGACCTACATTCAAAGCGAAACTAAATCCAAGCTGTGATACATGCTTGTGTAACAAGTTGGCAGGCAAGCTCCATCGTAAATGAAAAAAAATATAATGCACAAAATGTTTGCAGCCCATGGTAATAACCAATAATCTAATCCACCTGTTTTAAATATATATCTTGGAACAAAAAGTGAAAGGTTGATTTCTTTATGCGCTGTGGAAGCCTAAGGTGAGCATAGACGAAAGAAATCAGAAATCTTCATTAATTGATAAAATAGATTTTTGGGTTTATGGCCCAGCCTTTATTTGAATTTACTCACACAGTGGGCATGTTTTTTGAGTTTTCAAGTTGACTATTTTTAATCAAATATTAAGTTTAACTCAGTCATGTTTAGCTTATGATACTAGAGTAGACTTACTATTTTTAGTAGTCAATAAGGAACACAAATACCAGCCTGTCTTTTTGTTCTTCTGTTTTTGAACTTTGAAACAGCTAAGTGGATTATGTTTATTTCCTCAAACACTGCACATGCGTCATTCATGTCTCACCAGATCAGTGGGATCACAAGAAGGGAAAAACTAAACTAGACATGTAAGGATAATCTCAGTGATTTAAAGCTGATGCAGTTATTTAAAGGGGTTTTGATATTTATATTGATTAATATAAGCTATTTAATTTAAGTGTTTGCAGTCCTGTTAACATCCATTTTTGTTTAGTGGTGTATGTTTTTTTTCTTTTGCAGCTCATGGTGGGCTGGAGTGCAGATGGGTCCCCCTGATCCCATCCTGGGGGTGACGGAGGCCTTCAGGAGGGACACCAACCCAAAGAAGATGAACCTTGGTGTGGGAGCCTACAGAGATGACCAGGGGAAGCCTTTTGTGCTTAGCTGTGTTCGTAAGGTAAAAGGGTTAAACTATTAAACATCCTTTATTAAGCTGAGCATGCAGAGAAGAAGTCGAGAGCGCGTTGTCAGAGTTGGGCACGCGGCAGGCCGTTTTTGTACGCTCAGTTCGGTGGCATCAAAATTACGCCATAGATGTTGAGCAAAAGAACACGAAATGCAAAGTTAGTCTGAAAACTGTGGGGACTACCGAAAGTAACAAATCCACCCTACAGCACAACCATGCTGTTGAGTTCAAAGATGTGCAGAAGTCTCTATTACCCTTGCAGATAAATGTTTGCAAGAGAGGTAACATTTTTCTCCTGTTCATTGACACATTTTTGATTGTTTAAACTTGAATGGGTACAAGACTTAAATATTTTAAAGTTATATGTAATATAGTTCATTCAATAAATAAATAGTAAATAGATCAGTTGCATTTCCTGCTCCTCTATTATTTCTAATAGAGGAGCTGTAGCATTCATCGTTTTGAGATAAAACTGCCCGATTTATTGTGATATTGATTTAAGGTCATATTTCCCAGCCCTAAGACAAGTTTAGTTGTTCTTTTTTTATTTTGATTTCTGAAGTTTAAAATCTTTTTTTCTAACCTCTTTTCCTTTCCTCCAGGCAGAGGCATTGATTGCAGCTAAACAACTGGATAAGGAGTACCTTCCCATTGGCGGTCTTGGTGAATTCGCCAAGGCCTGCGCTCAGCTCGCTCTTGGAGCCGACAATGAGGTTCTGAAGAGTGGCAGGGTGAGTTATGGAGTCCAGTTAAAGCAATCTTAATCTAGCCCAGTTTGATTATGGTCCAATTCATTTGACATTTACCTCCCAACAGAGCATCACTGTCCAGACTATCTCAGGAACTGGATCCTTGCGCATTGGGGGTAACTACTTGGTGAGTACTCTCCAATATAAAGAGACAGTTGTGACGCAATGCTGGCTATATAAACTGATGGTTCTTTGTCTCAGGCTCGGTTTCATACAGGTCCACATGATGTATACCTGCCCAAACCCTCCTGGGGGAACCACACACCCATCTTCAGAGACGCTGGCATGCAGCTCAAAGCATACCGATACTACGACCCCTCCACCTGTGGCTTTGACTTCAAAGGAGCCCTGGACGACATCTCTGTGAGTCAGAGTGGAGCTTTGTGCTTGAGCAAATGATTAAGATCAGTAAGAGGATTTATGCCGGGGGGCTTAATGCTGTCACAGAACATAAACTTTGTAGAGTTTTAAACCTATAAGTTTAAAACCATGGTGGGTGTAGCAGCCCGGGGGTAAACGTCTGTTTTGACAATGATGTGTAGGTAGTTGATGACTTGATAATATCAACTGTATTTTAACGGCTTTATGTTAGCTGGTTAATGACTCTAGTTATTTATTGTTTTAGTTCTGTGTCTGCAGTATTAGTTGTATCTTATCTTTATGAGTTCATTTTGCATTTCAGAAAATTCCAGAGAAGAGCATAATCGTGCTGCACGCCTGTGCACACAACCCCACTGGTGTGGATCCCAAGCCAGAGCAGTGGAAGGAGATCGCAGACCTTGTGAAGGTGAGGAATGGTCACATCTGCAGGATTTCATGAACATCTTGATGAATTGAGCTGTTATCTAGGGGTCCTACACAGGCCTGTAGTCAGATAAGTGCAGTGCATTAAGTCGCACTCACACCATGACAATTTAGCCAGTATATGCCTGATGTACAAAAACTCTGTCAAAAACGCTGGCATACCTTGGATAAGTTATGAGCATACAGCGAGTATGAATGTTGAGAAATTTTGAACATGCCCAAAATTTCTGATCTTTGACATAAATTAAGTGTAAGTTACTCAAAAGTAACTTATCCAAACCTATGCGCATAACTTGTGTGTAACTTATCAAGAATTTATCTCCAACGCATATCAACGTATTAGACGTGGTCCAGAGGATCGGTGAACATGTTTCTAACTTACAGCTACTGTGTAAAGGTGTATTGGCAGAATTTTGGTATAAAAGGAGGAAACTGTCTGTACCCCTCCAGACTGCACCCCCATCATAGGCTGAGCAAGAAGCTGAGTGTGATGGATCCTCCCTGCGTTCAAGGCCACCACCAACAAACTTCTAAGCAGACATCTTTTTTTGCAGGCCGGGCGCATCGCTGCCCTCCTCAGGACACTCGCTTGTGACATTTCATGGACATTACGCTGCATGTATTATGCATAAGTTATGCGTTAGTTATGAATATGCTATGCATATGCCAAAAATTGAAAAAATACAAAGTTCAGCGTATGGTAGTGTTTAAGATTCAGGGATGTCAGACATGCTGTCTAAATCGTCATGGTGTGACAGGGGCTTTAGGAACTTGTGGTGTCATTGTTTTAATATTAACAGGTTCCTATGTGTTTGTTTAACGCCACAGAAAAGGAACCTGCTGGTTTTCTTCGACATGGCGTACCAGGGCTTCGCCAGCGGTGACATCGATCGTGACGCCTGGGCTGTTCGGCACTTTATTGAGACCGGCCACAACATCGTGCTTTCTCAGTCCTTCGCCAAGAACATGGGACTGTACGGTAAGTCAGGTTCCTTTAGTGCAAACAGTTTGTGCCAGACTGCAGTGCTTTGGTGAAAGATTGTATTTTGTTGCCACCTGCTGGTAAATGTTTGATTTCTTCTAGGAATTATCAAACATTAACATCTTAACCGAATATTAAGTGAATACCCTTCAGCTGTTATGAAGAATCAGACTTTTACGTTTCTCTGTCATTAGCTTCTCTGACTCTGTTCTCTTGGCACCGGCAGGTGAACGTGTCGGAGGGTTCACTGTTGTGTGCAGTGACGCTGAAGAGGCAAAGAGAGTGGAATCCCAACTCAAGATCCTTATCAGGCCCATTTACTCCAACCCACCAATGAACGGTGCCAGAATCGCCTCAACCATTCTCAACACACCCGAGTTGCGCACTCTCTGGTAAAAGGCACAAAGCCCCTGAACTGGAAGCAGTTCAGGTTTCAACATCATCTTCCATAAATCTTGTACTTGTGATTTAGACTAGCTCTGTACATATCTGTGAATTAGAAGAATGAGGAAACAGTTTTCATCAATAAAATTAAATCTAGAAAGTGTGGAATCCATATCTACTGAACTCCTCTCACTGATGTTAGCATCATCTTTACTTGTAGTTTCAGTTGAGATTTTTCTTGGGTGTGCCTCCATCAGCTTTAAGCATCCAGAAAGCCCTTCTTATTTGCAACATAGTTTAAACTAAGAGTGGATGGACTGTGAATGTGTGGTCATGCCAAATATTCTGAGTTGGATTTATTCTGGACTTTGGCTAGGCCATTTAAATGCAGGATTATCCTTTGATCTAAAAAATGCTACTGGAAGCTGGACCTTCATCTTGGTCTGAGGTCTTTTTCAGCCTAGAACAGTAATTTTTCCAGGATTTAACTAAATCTATTTTAATTTACTAAATCAGAGCAGCTTAGAATGAAGAAGTATCTCAACACACTCCATTTTGCTTCTTATCCTAACTGTCCTAGCTTGTAGATTTCCAATAAAGGCCAGGTTTAGAGTACATGACCGTGTGCTGTGTTAAATTATTCTGCTACCTGAGCTGTGAATCTCTGCAGCTCCTACAGAGCTACCATGGGTGTCTTAGGCTATATTCACACTGCAGGCCTTAATACTCAATTCCTTTATTTTGTTGTTGTTGTGAAATCCGATTCTTTTGCGTGCTTGTTCACATTTCCAAATGCCTGACCTTTCAGTGTAGTTAGTGGTGTCTGTTTGTAACGTTATATTTGGACACTACAACTTTCTGGATAAAAAAAAAATTGTGTAATTGATAGTGTAACAAAAGGTGAATATGAAAGTAAATAAAAATACTTATAATGTTTTATGCTGCTTTTTCTTGATGTGTTTCTGCTGGCAGGCTGGAGGAGGTCCATGGCATGGCCAACCGCATCATTAAGATGAGGGAACAGCTGGTAGCGGGTCTGAAAAAGCAAGGCTCCTCCCACAACTGGCAGCACGTTATTGATCAGATCGGCATGTTCTGCTTCACAGGCCTTAAACCTGAACAGGTACGAGCAGAGTGTGGTCTCGAGTGAAATGTGTTTGCAGAAGGCAGACCAGCATGAATAAAAATTCTGTCACAGCTGCTAGGTTCCAGAATACGATACACGATCATATCCGATTCAGGTCTCATTAGCAGTGCACCTCCTGGGAAGTAGCTTTTTTAAGTTTTTATCCTTTGACTTATCCATTTCATTTATATATTTCTTACCCTGGTGCTGTGTCCACTGCTGTTTCAGTTGTTAGTCCATTCATTTGGTCAATCAGTCACTTTTGCTTTTATGGTTTATATGCTGTGATGAAGGGAAGAGCAGCCGAGCCTAAAGCCATCCCAAAATAAAAAAAGGGAGCAAGGGAGGACTTGCATGTAGCTGATGCTATCATATCTCTTTTGTTAGAATCCACAGTTGTGCTTTTGACACAATCAACCATAATATTCTGCTGGTTAAGTTGATGTCTCTAAATGTGCCCTCCGCTGGATTAAATCATCTGTCTGACAGTAGATAATTCATGCAAAAAATAAAATTGAAGCTGCTGTTCTCTCCAACGTTATGCTATCAGTGTCTGAAAGGCTCTAGGACTCCTGTCTACATCTTAACATTGGAAAACCATGTTTTTCTCCCGACAGCCAGTAGAGGGTGATGAACTATCAATGTTTATCAATAGAGAGATGTTGGATGTGGTTTAACACTTTAAATATCTTGGAGTGGTCTTTGATTCCAATTTAAATTTCTAGCTGCATGTAAAGAGAATCTCAAATTATATTTTATAAATTATATAATTAGGTTTAATCTTTCAAACCTTAAACATATAAGACCCTCTCTGACTTTTGAATCAGCAAAAATCTATATGCATGCCATGATATTTAGCCATATAACTACTGCCATACCACATGGTCTCACACTCCAGAGGCCATTCTGAAACCCCAACAGTCTCTCTTCAAGAAAACTCCTAAAGTTCTTGACAAAAAAGTCATTATTGTAATATTTTAAGTTAGTACAATGTTTTACACTTTGATCGTAATCAGATAGTTTGTGTGTCTTGTTTTTAAAATTTTAAATGGACTTGCTCCTCCTCCTCCTCTAAAATATGCTTTAAGCTGATATGTTTATAAATGTGGATTGTCATAATTCAAAGAAATAAAAATAATAAAATTGCTTCGTGGATACTAGAGCGTAAGTACAAAAACTTTTTTGGTACATGCTGCCTGAGATGAATTTTCATTCACAAACGGCAAAAACCTGCTCTAGGAGCCTCATTATAGTTTTTATTTTATTTTTTGGGGGAATTTCGCATAATAGACCTTTAAGCAAGAATTGTATTCTTGCTTTTTTTATGTGTACAATTATAGTATCAACACTAGTTGGTAATCTAAAGGAGTTATTTAATGACTGGCAGATTAACGGCTCAGATCTTTCTGATGACCAGGAACTCTGGTCATCAGAGCTGCTGAAATATCTCAGATGTTCAGTTTGAGGCCGTGCTGTAAAATTACTACTTATTGAAGAGATATTCTAGCATTATTTTAGAGGGTGCTGTCTGAAATTAATCATAAAAGCAGATTAATAACAACACATCGATCTTAGTGGAGAGGTGGCCTAGTGGTTAGAGCATTGCGCTGGGATCCCAGAGGTTCTGAGTTCAAGCCCCGCTCCCATGGACTGCCAGTCTGGGTCCCTGAGCAAGACCCTTAACCCCACACTGCTCCCTGGGTGACGCACAATGGCAGCCCACTGCTCCCCAAGAGGATGGGTTAAAGGCAAAGAGTGGATTTCATTGCTTTGTACTTGTGACCGTGTAACGACAATACAGTTGAATTTTATTCTATTCTTCCATTCTAGTTACTACACCTTGGAAAAACTATAGTTCTTTGCCACCTCTGACTTTTCTAGCACTCGTTTAAGCTCTACTGCATCTTTGCTTTCTTTTTCTTGCAGGTTGAGCGTCTGACAAAAGATTTCTCGGTGTACATGACCAAAGACGGCAGAATTTCCATGGCCGGCGTGTCCTCCGGGAATGTAGGCTACCTGGCGGAGGCAATCCATGCGGTCACCAAGTAGAGGGGCTCTTATTGGAAGAACAGAAGATTCAAAGCTGCCGTCTTGAGGAGCCTCTTATGCTTCACTCCTCTGTTTCACCTTCAAAGGAGTTGTTAATATTTAGTTTAACTTTTTCTCTTCTGGATTTTAGCGTTAGTTCACTATTGGGACGGTTGTTGGTAAAAATCTTTTTTTTTTTTTTTTTTTTGCAATCTCCCTCTGAACTGATGCCCTATGCCATGTTTCAAACATGTGACTGAGCTGATTGTCTTTTATTTACTCTTTGGAATCTGCTGCTGACTCTGTATCTCTAATTGTTTGCTCTTGACCCTCATGCATTTCATCTTTAGGGTAATGCATGTAAGCTTAAGGTGCAAGTTGAAATTTCTGTTGCTTTGTGGAAATCTTTAGGAATTACAGTTTTTGTTTATCATTGTGGTGTTGTAGCACTTTATCAAATATGTGGCACTATTTTAGTTTGTTTCTGGGTTTTACTGTAAGAATGGGCATTTATCAGTTCCCTTTTAATTTCATCAAGCACTGTTATTTGATCTTTGTATTTAAAATAGCTCAGTTATCTCCTTTGCATTCAGTACTTTTCCTCTAGGTTTGTGTGATTCTTGAGTTTTCATTCACAAAGCAGTAGTTTCTCAATCGCTCCATCTTAAAACTTCTCAGAATATATTGAGCACAAGAGTGAAACTGGAGTAATTGGATGTAAGGTAAGATGGATGTTGTGATATTCAATTTGGTGTTTCATCAAACCATAAAACCAATCGATTTTAACAAAAGCAGTACTGTGTCCTGTTCGATACAAATGGCATTTGAAATGTGTCCCAGTTTGCCTATATTCCTGGGACTTTGTCTCCATGCTCAGTACTTGTGAAACTAAACATCATGGGTCATTTACTTACTGAACAAACAATAAATCCCTCAAGAGAAAAGTTTGCTTCTGTTTTTTTTTTCTCTGCATGTGCAGTAGGCTAATGCTTTTATCAGTGTTCATGTGACATTCTGCCTTTCTGTGCAGATCTTTTATTTGAAACAATGGTTTATGCTAATTGTTTTTTTTTAATAGCTTCTTTAGTTCATATTACTAGGTCAAATTAAAATTCTTACAAATGCTAAAATAGGATGTTTCTAAAAGTTCAAAATTTTCTGTTTGGCAAAAACTGGTTTCTTTATAAGGGTGGTACTTATTGTCATGCTTTCTTTTGTCACTTTCTAAATTTCAGATATTGAACTATGAATATGTTGGCACATATAGGATTGCTTTATAAATACAAAAACTTTCAGTTTGTTTTCTATGAAACCTTACTGGATTGGTGCCATTGCTTAATTTCATCATTAGTATATAAGATGTTTAAAATTATTTCAATATGTAACTTTTTCTGGCTTTGTTAATATTTCACTCTTTTCGTCCATGTTAGTGCTTTGAACAATACAGAAACATCAGCCTCTCAAAACCGAATTAAAGCGTTTACTAATAACTCAGAATGCATGAAAATTACACTGGTAGATAGTTTACCACTATAGACATCGTTGGAAAGCTTAGATTCTCCACAATTATACCACCTAGTTCATTTTATGGACATTTTATGCACCAAAGCACAATTACCGTAACAGATATAGCAGCATGTCAAAGCAGTAGCAACAAGCAAGCAAGTCTTTATAACTGCTGTTCAAAAAAGACCTATTTTTGAGAATAAAAAAGAACTTTGAGTCTTGTTTGAACTGATGCAGCTTGGGTGTTTTACTCTCCCAATTTTCATGTATATTTATTCAGAAACTGTAGGTATTGGCTTTCAAATAATGTGTCATACATGTAATTGGGCTTACAGGTCCTAAGTTATTTTCTTTTCCATTTGGGTATGCAAAATAGGCGAGAATATCCCAAAATGAGGCGGATATTAAGAAGTTTAAGTATCGAAAACAGTCATTTCCGGTTCGTTATTAAACAATCATGGAAAACTACAACAACCAGAATTCCAATCGTTAAAAAAAATATGGAGAGGTCACGTGACTACGTCACACGTCTCCTCTATTCTCCAGCTGCCAAAAATTGAAGGTTCAGTCATTCTCCGCAGTGGAGGCCTGCGCGTTTTTATCCCCATTTTCCTTCATAACAACAGATTCTTTACGGTAAATATAAGCAGGTAGGTGTTTAGCTGTTTCCTGCGGTTGGTTAGATAACTTAAATTACTGTTATCATTTGCTAGCTTAGATGTGTTGTAGGGAATAACAAAGGGCACGGCCGCCTCAAAATGTTTTCATTCTATTGATGAGAGACAAGCCTTGATTTAATCAGACTAAACAAATGACAGAGCTGTGCCTTTTGTTTTTAGAAAGCATTACTTTGCACAAGTTGTATACACTGATTTTTTTTCTACCAATATTTTTGAATAGTTAGTAATTGAAAAAGTTCAAGAGAGCAGCTATTTAAAAAAATAAACTTCAACAGATTTTATGGGATTAACATATCGTACTTTAGTAGAATAATTCCTATACATTGGTGTGTTTTGATGTAAACCTCAGGCTGCATGTTTAAAGATTATTGAAGGTGTACCTCCACAGCTATGGCATTTCTTTTGCATGTTTTAATTGGTCATTTTTGTTAGAGGATTACTGCTCTTTTGACCATAAACAGTAAAAGAAGGTCATTTCCACAACATGATGCAGCGTTTACCACGGTTCAGTTACAATGTGGCTTTGCCACCATGGGGGGTGTAAGTTGATTCTCCAACACACCTGGATCTTAATGACTGAATTCCCCTTTGCAGCTCATTGAGCTCAACAAACTTTTTATTTGATTCAGGTGTGTTGGAGCAGGGATCAATCTAGAAGTTGCAGGGTGGTAGCTTTAAAGGACCGGACGTTTGCTGACCCTCAACCCAGCACTAATTAAGTCAAAACTGCACAACAAATATATAAATCTTAGAAAGTCAATAAAACTAAAACTGAAGCGGCATATTTTCAGCTTCAACTGGTTCAAATTATGCAAAAGATCCCTGCAGTCCTTCAACAAATGGTTGGGTATAAAAATATGAAAGTCATACGTATATTACTTTCCAACTTAAATTATAAAAACCTTGATGTTTCTCTATCCAATCACAGTAAAAGGTTTTAAAATTTGCAGCAGTGTTTGGAAAATCTCGAGGTCTATGAGTAATGTGCGAGGAGCTTTTTTTTTCTAAAATAGTGACAATTTGACAGGACATTTCTTAATAATGTCCCATTTATCAATATTTGATTACAGATTAATCGCTACAAGTAAACAGCAGCGCTTTAGCAGAGCTTCACCGTTCTCCAGCTGACCGGCCCTCTCTCATGGCAATCAACGCTGATGTTGAAGATTGGGCTGGCGTCGGTAGCAGTGACTCAGGAGAACGAGCATGGCTCCTGCAGAGCCCCAGCGTGGATTCTGCCCGGCACCCAGAAGAGGACGAGCGGAGCCGTGGCGTGTCGCCGTATGCCGCCGTGTTCATAGTGGTGAACGCAGCCCTGGGTGCGGGGCTGCTCAACTTCCCTGCAGCCTTCAGCATGGCTGGGGGAGTGACGGCAGGAGTGGTTCTTCAGATGGTGAGTGGATACCGGAGCTGTAAAATTCACTAGTTTCCTCTGTTGGCATATCTCCAACACTGATTTTGTTTTTGTTTTGCAACAGTTAATGCTCATCTTTATCATCAGTGGGCTTGTGATCCTTGGCTACTGCTCTCAGGTATGTTTGTTTTTATTCAACTTCCTATGTAACATGTTCTGCTACCATAACATTAACTTATTATTCACACTTATTGTAAGATTTCATTGTGCAACCACAAGCCTCAGTGAGTATTGCATTATGGGCCAACAAGTTTACAATAAAGGTGACGTTTAGAGGACGTAAACAGGGTTTTAACTGATTACATCTGAAAATATGCCATATGTTCTTGCTTTCTATCAGATTCAGTAGTTTACCACCCCTTCCATGTAGAGACTTGACCCCATCACAGAGTCCTCCCACAATTTCTGCTTTGAATGTGTTGCTTTTTCCGCTTATTGTTACTGTGTATGCTCCGGGTAATGATTAATCGATTACTATTTGATGATTATTTGATTCAGCTTTAGTTTGGACTCCTCTGACCAAAGCTGCTCCCTCCTCTTCCTCAGAACAGTTCTTCATAGCTCCCCCCACTCTACTTATGCAGTGCAGTTGTAGCGGGTATATTGAGGAGACCCACACAGCAGTAATTGCAAATCCAAGTGCTTAACAGCTGCATGATGAAACGCATTAAAATGGTTTTGGCCTTACAACAGATTCTTGCAGCGGAGCAGTTGGTCTTTGCTGCTCCCCCAAAGTAACCATGGGTTCTTTTTTTAATAGAAATGTTTGCACTAGATTTTCCCATAGGTGGGTCCGGGTAATGGGGCTAATCGCTCGCATGACGTTTTTGGATCTGTATTTTTAAAGTAAAACAGAAAACAACCCTTTTTGCCTTCACTTTATATCTGTGCCTTTGGGTCAGCTTATCATATCAAATCTTCTAAAACCACATTTAAGTGTGCAATTTTTATGTGACAGAAATGTGGAAAAGGTGCTGTTATAATAAATACTTTGCAAAGCAAAAGCAAAGGTTTCAAATCTTTTCTCCTTGTGGTTAGAAAGATTAGGAAGCAGCATTATTGTGTAACATATGGTGTCCCATGTTTTCTTTCTGTTCCTGATCCCAGTATAATGATTCTTTCTCAGAATTCAGGCTTTCGGTTCCTTAACAGCTCAGACTTAAACCCACATTAAAGCATTTTTGGGCTAAAGTGAAATAGATTTTTGATTAATTAAGAACTTTTTACATAGTTACTGTTGTTAAATATTGCCTTTAGGACATAAACTTCCCATAAGACCTGTTTTTTTACGCAATGTACAGCGGAGTTTAATGCTGCTTGAGTCACACATCTGTCTTGACATGTTTTCATACCAGCTGTCTGGTTTCTGCAGGTCAGCAATGAAGCCACTTATCAGGAGGTTGTTCGAGCCACTTGTGGGAAAGTCACAGGAATCCTCTGTGAATTAGCCATTGCTATCTACACGTTTGGCACATGCATCGCTTTCTTCATTGTGATTGGAGACCAGCTGGATCGTTGTAAGTATCCACAAAGATCAATAAGGCTTCATAACCGGAGACTCTAACTTATTCATAGTTTTATATTTTTATCAGCATTTCTGTAAACTGCAAGGACAAAGACTTTTTAAATGTTTAGATATTTGGTTAAGCTGTAATGTTTGAAAATCAGAGTGTTAATGAGGGCAAAGAGCGTTTAGAATGACTGCTGAGCTTTGTCTTTCTTTAAATGTCTCTCATGTGACAAATTCGGTCACTGAAACGCTGACACAGCAGAAATTTTAATCTGTCAGCCTCTGCTTAAGGCGAAAAATGCTTTTGCGACTTTGTTCATTTTTGATAGATCCATCTCAATCTGTACATTGCTACTGTTCTTCAACAGTCCTTAGAAGTTTGGACTATGATTCAGTTTCCTGTGTTTAGATAATTATTGCAAATAAAAAAAAACATTTTAAACTATTCTGCAACTGTCAGTACCCAACTGTTTACTCTAAAACTCCTTTAGAGTAAAACTCCTACAAAAGTAGGAGTTCTGTTCTTATTTCCTTTCTCTCTTTGATCCATCCTGCCTAGAGTATCTTGATTCATTCTTCTTCCTTTTCATCTGTTGCACCCTTACTCCTCTTTTTCCCTGTCCCTATTGACCACTTTGGGATATCTATCACTATTTCATTGTATAGGAAAGGAAAAAGGATGGAAATTGAACTTTATTCATCTCATAATGGAGAAATTTACCTCTGCATTTAACCCATCCCCTTGGGGAGCTGTGGGCTGCCACTGTACAGCGCCCGGAGAGCAGTGTGGGGTTAAGGGTCTTGCTCAGAGACCCATAGTGCAGGCTGTGGGGA